GCATCCGTTTCACCAACAGTCTCAAATGGATATTGACTACACGGGTTGGATTGTGGGCTGGTGCTCAGATACTCTACTCTTTTATTATCTTATATAAAACATGGAAAGAACAGAGTCGGCGGGTACATGGGGAAGGGATTGAGGGCTATTCCATGGCTATGTATTTATGATCTATCGACCTATAATAATAATATTGTTTAAAAGGTTATTTGTTGGTATTCCCCTAGTGACCCTTCAAATTCATAAAGAAACGCGCTTGAGAGTGACTCTTTGGTTAAAGACAATAAATCGCTGCTTGCGAATCGCCCACAACTATCTCCACGTCAAAGTTGGAAATTTTTCATATGTCTGCCAGAGTTGCTGCAGTTTTTGAAACTCCTTTCCTGCGCGTTGAATATGTTCTATCTACTCGGGAACCCGAATGAGATCGATTAGCAGCCTTTCTCCATCTATTCTAGTGACTGCACACTGGTTTCCTGGAGAACCAAGAGAGATGGCCGGGAAAGGATTGTTGTGGTCGAAAGTAACTCTGCCGGGTGCTGAGATCCAGCCGAGAACAATTTAAGCACCACTATATTCCAAGAAAAACATAATTGTCAAATTGAGCTATATTATTTTGACTATCTACGATAGACATAAAATAATATACTAGTCGATCAAAGCTGAGATAAAATCCTAGATACTAATTCCGAGTATCAAAATGGCAGAAGAAGATTTGGTGGATTATGTATGTCTAGAATTCATGCCTCCAGGACCCTGCTTTTCTTGAAGATACAATTTCCTATATTTGGTCATAATAAGACAAGTCTCCACAGAATGCCCTTTATTCTTGCAAAATAAACATTCATTTGCCATGAAGGTAAGGGTATCAATAGTCGGAAGAGATGAACGATTGGGAGGGGGTGGTGTCAAATTCCTGGCAGAGTGGACGACTTGATCATAGTTGAACTCCGGGTTTGAGATGATCTTGCTCCGTAGGATATGGCCACCTGGAACATTCTTTGCTATGTTGTATGCCTTTAGAAGTTTGACGATATCGGAAATCGTGCAGTGCTCGGGTATGAGATCAGTCATCCTCATGCCCAAAGAGTCGATACAATATATAAATTTGTCCCAAGTTTCACCTTCGAGTTGTTCCACTTCAAAGAGGTTGCACATTGCTTGAAAGAGAGCACCCATGTGACGGGGTGCATAATTATCCTTGAGCGCTTCCAACATGCCTTTTGGGTCTCTTTTGGTAAGGAATGCTTCAGTAATCCCATGGTTTTGTCTCCCAGCGGCAGTGCTGATCCAGTGGGCAGCGGTCCTCATACATCTATCCCAAGATTCACGTTCAGCCTTCTGCTCTTCACTGAGTTGGGTCGCATCCTCGATGTCATCGTAGGGACGAGTCCAAGGTTTGTTGGTATCTGGATCTACATCGAACAGAGGTTCATAAGCACCTCCAGCCTCGAGGACCCTGTCGATGCGCCATCTCCATTCAGCAAAGTTGTTCGTGGTTAGAGGTTCCAATTTCTCGAGGAAGATAAGTGCACAGGGCGTATCTGTTTCCCATAATGGCATATTGGAGGGATGAATTCGGCAAGAGATGCACGGGTGGAGGGCTAAGACTTGTAAGCGGGTGAACAGCAAGTTCCATCATGACAAAAAAAGCTCACAGCAATGAGCCGCTAATCAAGTTGTTGGATGGAGTATATTCAATCTAGGAGGTCGAATATCGGAATAAAAGGCTGCTAGGTTGACTAAACCAGATTCAGTGCGGTAGGGGGTGGGTCAGAGAGACAAAGGATTCTGAACACCACCGTTTGGAGCCAATAGAGGAGAGCTGGTGGTCCATACGCGGGCCATATTTACTCCAATGTCTCATTATTCTTAGTTATGCTAGAGGTCGACGGTTGCTTTCGTATCCGTCTCGGTGGTACAACGTACGTGAGCACTGAATCTGTTTGTGCAATGCAACAAATCAGAGAAAGCTATAAACCATGTCAATATGTCATTTATCTACCATAAAATGCCTTATCTAATGGATTTGTCCCGTTTTCTCAAAGTTCGAGCCCCAAACCTCATACACTTGGAAGTTAGACAGGCAAGTGGTGCTCTTCATGTCATCAAATCTTTAAATTGACCATGTTTCAGAATAAATCTCCAGTTGTACAGCAAATATCGCCGTTGGCCGTATTCACAGTACATCTGTCCACAC